GGTACTTAAAACAGCAATTCATTGAGATTCCTGTTTTACCAGTACAGTCCTTCATTCACCTTATTTCATTTTGTTTCCATTTAAAAACTACTTGTCCTAAACCTCTTTTTGAATTTAGTAGTCATTTACTGAGCACAATTTTCAGGGAAAACACTGTGTTTTCCAGAGATCAAAATATATTCCAGATTTGAAAAATGACATTTTTGGGGGGCCACAATCTCCCCAATAATGACATGGAGACATTATTACTTATAAAAGCTACCCAATGGATTAGCTCTTACAACGTAAATTAACCCATTTTTTTCTGCAGATTTTTTTTTTACTTGAATTAGAAACAAGATTGTTTTACATGACAATCCCAGTTCTCTCTCCCTCATATCCTCCCCTACCCCCCCCAACTAAAACCCTACCTATCACATATCCTTTCTGCTCCCCCTGGATGGTGAGGCCTTCCATAGAAATTAGCCCGTATTTATTCATCTACTTTTTGTCCCTTGGCTTTATTGCCTTTACTCTGTACTGCCCATGCTGTTTCTACTCCGTTTGCCTGGCAACTCCACCCTTCTTCTTCCCAGTGTCCCGTGTGCCTGAAAATGCTGCCTAACTATTAGCCATTCAGCTTTTTATTAAACCAATCAGAATGACACATCTTCACATTGTACAAAAAGATTATTCCACAACATATCCACAAATTTCTGTCACTTCTTTACTTGTATTATGTTTGCTATTGCCTGGAAATAGCAATGATCATTCTGGGTTTCCTGGAGGAAGGGAGCAGCTAGAGCAAGTGACAGAAACAAGTAGTAGTAGTGGGACAATCTACAGTACACAGATAATATTTAGCATGGATTGGGAGTTCTCAGTAGATCTGCTCAGCAACCCTAATTTTACCTATTTTTCAATTTACACACAGTCCTTGTCACCCACTTATTCTATATCTGTTGTGCAATAACAAAATGAACTTACTTTTTTCACTAGAGATGAAGTAATGGAAAAATAGTTACAATTTATGTGGTGACTTGAATACTTATTGTCCATATTGTAAGGCAGTGAGCTATAGAATCTCCATGTGAAACAAGTCCTCTATTGGTCAGGATGAGTCTCTTTGTGTACAGTTTCCTTCAAGTAGTTCAAACCATGCAAATGTTAGGAATTTTCTATTTCTAAAAAGCAATAACATATCAAAGTTGTTATAAATGCAATTCAGTGGGGCAGGGTTTACTTCAAGGTGGCAGCCTAACTTGACTGTGTCATCCATGTGGCTTTAGAGTCATGAAAGATACACTAATAAAGGGCTCATGGAATCTTCCTTCATGGTTATGGAGAACCAGGGAGGCCGGGCATGTGGCTGTGGCATTCCTGCATAGAGGTCCTGAAAGGGCATTATGTGTAGCTGTGAAAGTGAAGCTTGCGTTGTTTTGGAGACCCCTACTTTGTACATGCCAAAGTTGTGGGATATCTGCCAAGGAGAGTTGCACACAGGGAGTGGAACCAGCCCAAGGGAGAGAAGTGTATTCTAGTCAGCAAGCCCAGGAAGGTAAAGCCATTTAAGCCCAGTGACATCAAATTTGGGGCTATAGGATTTGGTGTTGGCACTGTTGTTTCTTGGTTCTGATTTGATTCAGTATTTCCTCACTATGGCGCCTTTCCTCCCGTTTGGAATGGTAATGTGTATTCTGAAAGTATGTGATTTACTCTTTGATTTTTACAGGTGATTTCAGTAAAGAGATTGCTTTGAGTCTCAGAAGCAACTTTGCACTTTTAAATTATGTTGAGACTGTAAAAGGCTATGGCAACATTTAAAGTTTGACTAAATGCATTTTGCATTATGATGTGGCCATTAGCCTGTGGGGAACAGAGGGCTTTGAAATGTGGTCATTTAAATGACAACCCCCCCCATATGCTCATATGTTTGAAAACTTGATTCCTGTTTGTGGATCTGTTTGGGAAGTGTCTTCATTAGGGTTTCTATTGCTGTGATGAAACACCATGACCAAAAGAGTTTTTTCACTCACAGTTTCATACAACAGTTTATCAAAGGCAATGAGGGCAGGCATTCAAGCAGGGCAGGAAACTGGAGGCAGGAGCTGATGCAGAGGCCATGGAGGAATGCTGCTCACTGGCTTGCTCCCCATGGCTTGCTCAGCCTGCTTTCTAGTAGAGCTAATGACCACCAGTCCATGAATGATACCACCCACAACCAATGGGCTTATTTCATTTATCACTAATTAAGAAATCTCTTATAGCTGGATCTTATGGAGGCATTTTCCCCTATAAATAATTTTTTTTGGTTTTTTGTTTTGTGTTGTTTTTGTTTTTTGTTTTTCGAGACAGGTGGTTTCTCTGTGTAGCCTTGGCTATCCTGGAACTCACTCTGTAGACCAGGCTGGCCTTGAACTCATAGAGATTCACCTTCCTCTGCTTCCCAAGTGCTGGGATTAAAGGCATGTGCCACCACTGCCCCAGAGGCATTTTCTTAATTGAGTTTCCCTCCTTTCAGATGCAGTGCAGGAAGGATTAGGATGTGTGACCTTGTTGAAGGAAATGGGAACAAGCTTTGAATTTTCCAAATCTGGTGACATTGCTAGTGTGTTCTCTGCTTCCCTTTTGTGGTTCAGAGATATGAGCTCTGAGCTGTTCCTGCTGCCATGCCTTCACTCTGTCATCCTGGACTTTAACCCTTTGAAACTGTAAACCTAATTAAAACACTTTCTTTTTTAAGTTGCATTGTTCATGGTTTTGTATCACAGAAATAGAAAAAGTGACTTAGACACCATCTTCACCTGACCAGAAGTAGAAATGTGTCTTGTATTCATGCCTCACTTCACTGAGAGCTGCAATTCACATCATCCCATGACCCTCAAATCTGACCTATCAATTCCAATCATATGGAAGTCCACACACAATTATTTAAATATCTCAAAACCATAATTCAGCCATCACAATGTATAGTGCCTCTATAGGCTCATACATTTGAATGTTCAGTCACCAATGAGTGGCACGTTTGAGAATTAGAATTAGGAGGTATAGCCTTGTTCAAGGAGGTGTGTAGTTGGGGGTAGGCTTTTCGGTTTCAAACCCAGGGCCAGACCCAGCATTTCTTTCTCTTCCTACTACTTACAGATCAGGATGTAGTTCTCAGTTACTGCTAGAGAGTCAGGCATGCTGCAATGCTCCTCTCCCTGCTCCTACCATGATGATAATTTTAATAATCCTCTGAAACTGTACACATGCCCCTAATTAAATGCTTCCTTTTGTAAGAGTTGCCTTGGTCATGGTGTCTCTGAACAGAAATAGAATAGTGACTAAAGCATAATCTTACATTAAGTGTATTCCCTCTCTGCTTATGGATCAGGATGGAGCTCTCAGCTACTGCTCTAGTGACATGCACGATGGCACTGCTCCCTCCTTGTTCTCACCATAATGATAACAGACTACAAGCAAACCCCCAATTAAATGCTTCCGTTTCTAGAATTGTCTTTCTCATGGTGTTTCTTCACAGCAATAGAACAGTGACTAAGATATATTGTTATATTAACTGCACACTCTCCTCCTGTTTTATTTTTTTTTTATTTAAGACATTTCCACTATACAATCCAGGCCAACCTCAAATTCTCCATCCTCCTGCAACATCGTCTCTAGTGATGAGGTTTCAGACAAGGGGTACTTTGTGCTTTTGGATTGATAGCTGTTGCAATTTAAAGGACTGAGCAGCAGGAGCTTGACTGCAAGCTTGATTATTATTGCTGGAAGACCAGAGGAAGTAGGATGTAAACAGACGGGGAACGCCAAATGTAATTCAGGCCACAACAGATCCTGAGTCTCCCTCCCTCCATACCACAGCTTAGCCTTTTGGATGGCTAACCGTGGAAGAGTTGACAGCTAGCAACAAGTTCTCTCAGTAACAGCCGTTCTCTCCTCACTGAAAAAGAAATCGTGGAACAAAGCAGCTTTCATTTAAGTCCTATTTCCTAACACCCCACCCTCCACCTCGAAGCTCCACCCACCTAAACACCTGCAGCTCTCTGCCACCCCTTGAACTTAGAGCATTTCACACAAAGGCAGAGGCACCTTGGGATGGCAGTGAATTCCTGGAGAGTAGCAGGGAATTCCAGGGTTTCCAGCACCCAGAGAGGAGACTAAAATAGGATGGGAAGCTTCGTTGTCACTAGATTCCTATGCAGTTGGGGGTGGAGGAGGTTCTCTAAGTGGGGGGAGGGTTGGGCAGAATAGGGCTCCTAGTTAGTATCTAAAAGATTCTGTAATCAAAGGTCACGCTGCTTAAGAAAGACAATTCCTTCCTAAGGAAGGAAGAAGGGGCTGATCTCAGCTAATTAACTGAACCAGAGACTTTAAAATCCTCTAGGGATATCTGAGAGTTACTATGGCCCTGGGCATGTACGATATCTGTGCCTCCTGCCATTGTTTGAGAATCCCTGCCAGCCCAACAGTCCTCTCCATCAGCTTAATGGAGGTGTGTGGATTGCTCTTCACTCTTCTCTGCCCTCCAGGACCTGGGATTTCACAGAGCAGGGCACTGTTGAATCCCAGAGAAGCAGTAGGGCAGGGACCATCTATAGCAACCACGATGGGAGGAGGGAGGAGGTGGCCAGCTAGAGGAAGGCAGTAGGGCCTAGCCTGACGCAGCAGCAGCAGCAGTGGAGGAGGCCCCCTCGAGATGCTGGGCTTCAGGCTCCAACCGGTCCTCCGCCTCCTCCGGTCGCGATCCCTAGGAGGGTCGTTGGTTCCAGTCGCCCTCAGCCTCAAGCCAAGGGAGGTGCCTCTGAGCTAGCTACCGAAGGAGGCGGGGATTGGATCGTCTGAGGAGGAGAGGGAGGGACCGGCGCTCTTGGAGCCGGTGGCTGCAGGCGCCCTGGGCTTGCCGCCGTCTGGAGCTGCACCCGGAGTCGGGTCTATATTGAGAGCGTGTGAATGTCCGCGTGGACTAGGGCCGCGCGGGCCCCGCGCCTCCTACGGCTGGCTCTCGCGTGCGGCTGTGTATGTTCGCTTCTTGTCACTGTGCGCCAAGAGGCAGGAGGGCTATGAAAATGATTCACTTTCGGAGCTCCAGCATCAAATCGCTCAACCAGGAGATGAAATGCACCATTCGGCTGCTGGACGACTCGGAGGTCTCCTGCCATATCCAGGTGCGGTGGCACCGGGGGAGGATGCAGGGCGTGCGGTGTTCGCAGGGTACAGGAGTGAGTAAAGGGGTTCTAAAGGGAGGCAGGAGCTGGTGGGAAACCCACCTCCGCAGAGAAACCTAGCTAGAGTGCGGGATTTGCTTCAGTCCTCGAGATAGGGGCTTTGGCCTTTTGTAGTCATCTTCTTTGCGTTATCCTTGCCTCAGCCCCCTACCCTGGCATGTACCCTGTGCTCACTTCGCTTTGCTCTTAGGTTGAGGCGGTAGCCAGATGTTTCTTGCTTAAGGCTGCGTTGGTCCCTTTGGAGCCTATCCCACCAGGACATAGAAGCCAAGAGAGCTAAGGGGGACATTTGCATGCTACCCACCACGTGGAAAAGGACTGTTTCCCGCGCCCAGGCCGTTTGGAAACCTGCTTCGTATGCCCTGCTGTCCCTCTGCCAGTAGTTTGTACTTCTCTAGTGGGGCAATGGACTTCCTCAAGTTTCCTCGAAATCTTGGGCTCCAGCCTCGAAAGATGGGGTGCATGTTATAATTGAATTGGAGCTACCTCAAAAGAAGGTGAAGTCTGGGCTTTAGAGAAAAGAAAAAGATTCATGTGGCTAGCAAACGAGTCCTGCGGGAAGCTGGATCTTGAGTAAAAGAGCTTGAATTTTGGTGACTATTCACTGTGGTCGGATTGGAGGAGAAGGGGTTTGCTTACTATTTTTAATGGTTGCTCCCTTCCTTGATAGATAAGTGTCTTTGGCCTTGCAAATATTTTGTAAGCTGCCGCTGCTGCTGCTGCTGCTGCTGCTCCTGCTGCTGCTGCTGCTGCTGCTGCTGGTGGTGGTGGTGGTGGTGTGTGTGTGTGTGTGTGTGTGTGTACACACACACACACACACACACACACACACACGTTTTCTTTAGCTGAGGTTGTTCCAGTAAGTAGGTGTGTACTTCTCCCATGAGCTCATGTGGCATGCACATTCTGCAAACCTTGTATTAGAACTAAGCACTGCTGGCCTCAGAGTTTAAAATTGAATTCATTAATTCTAGGATCCCCTCTTCTGCTCTACTACGCCTGAAGGCTCTAAGAACCATGCATGTGGGAGTTGAACGGATGAGCACCCCCTAAAGGCAGAAATCCACCTCTAAGTTGTACCTGATTTTTTAAAAGACATTTTAATTAACATGTAATTACATCACTTACCCCCTTCTCTTCCCTCCCCTCAGTCCCTTCCAAGTCTCCACTCTCCAACCTCTTTCATGCTCCCCAACTACACTCACAAATTGATAGCCTCTGTTTTTTCATTATTATTGTTACAGATACAAAATTACAGAAACACAACCTGCTGAGTGTTTTTATTGTTTGTCTGTATATGGTTTCAGGACTGACCACTTTGTATTAGTTAACCAAGAAGGGGGAACTCATCCCTGGGAAAGGCTCTCCCTCTCTTCAATATTCATTAATTGCCCAAAGTTCTTTCTATAGGGTCGGGCTCTGTGAATATTTCCTCCTCAGTTAGTATGCTTATTGACATTGCTATGATTCAGGTCTTGTTTATGCCATTTCTATGAGAAACTGTTTCACAGCAGACACCCTGGTATTCAGCATCTTACAGTCTTTCTGCCACCTCTCACACAATGTTCCATGAGCCGTACATGTAGCACCCTTGAGATAGATTTATCCCCTGGCTGGACTTCTTGTGATCCTTGATCTTTGCATTGTTTCCAACTATGATTTCATGTGTGGTATCCATTTGCCATAAGTGAAGCTTCTTTAATGCAGGACGCTCGATAATTTGTCTGTGGGTATAAGGATAAGTTTTAGAATGCAGTTAGGAGTTAGGTTGGTTTATCAAAGAAGTAGTAGTCGTTTCTCTCCTAAGATCCAGGACCTCACCAACTATGGTCAGTTGCTTAGTTTTCTAGTACCATGCATGATTTCTCTCCTGTTGAGTGGATTTTACATTCAACAAACAGCTGCTGTGGCACCTTTATAGATACCTACTCCTGCTGGTCACTGTTGTGGTTCCTGAGAGTCACAGCTCAGGAGGGAATACTAAATGTTTCCCTCCTGTGTTGGTTAATTTTAGGTTGAACTTGATACAAGCTAGAGTAGTTTAGGAAGAGAGAACTTCAGCTTAGAAAATGACACATCTGGTTTGCCTGGGGAAAAGCCTATTGATCATTTTCTTGATTAATGATTAATGCTGGAAGGCCTAGTTCACTTTGAGTGGTGCCACTCTAGGGCTGATGGCTCAGGTACTCTCAGACAACAGACTCAGCAAACTGTGAGAAGCAAGCCAATAAGCACTGCTATTCCTAGCCTCTGCTTCAGTTTCTCTCTCAGGGTTTTAGCTTGCTTGAGTTTCTGGCCTTCCCACAGTGATGGACCCTTACCCAGAAGTGTAAGCAAAATAAACCCTTTCATCTCCAAGTTGAAGGTTTTACCACAGCATTAGAAACCTTACTAAAACACTTCTCTTGGAAGCTTTCATAGTATTTCCTGGTGCTTTGGAAGCTAAACCACAGGAAGGATTTGAGGTCAGTTCCAGCTAGAATAAAAATAATCTGGGTCCTGTGTCCTGAGTGTGTAGTGTGTTCAGCCTGGGGGTTTACCTTCAACTTCTGAAAGGCTACAGTGGCAACAACTGTATTCTATAGTGTTTTGGGAATCCACTGGACTACCCTGACCAGTGGGGACGTTTCTCATACCTGATCCCAAGACTTTTGTTAGTCAGTAGTTCCTGTGGAGGCATTGTCAGCCTCATTCTCTCTCTCTCTCTCTCTCTCTCTCTCTCCCTCTCTCTCTCTCTCTCGCTCTCTCTCTCTCTCTCGCTCTCTCTCTCTCTCTCGCTCTCTCTCTCTCTCTCTGTGTGTGTGTGTGTGTGTGTGTGTGTGTGTGTGTGTGATCTATAATTTTAGGTAAATATAGAATGATATTTCTTCAGGACTTTCCAAATAACTTGGTGTTTTTTTGTTTTTTGTTTTTGTTATCTCTCATTCCTACTGCTTCTGTTCTGAACTCCCTTTCCCCTTCCCAGTTGGAGCGCCCACCTACCCCATTTTCTGTTTTGACCTTCATTTTATTGCTATTTCCCTCTCACCCACTCCTGCCCTGTGGTTCCATTTTACTTTCCTGGTTTCGGTAGTTACTCCATATTGCAAACTTACTTCTGAAGATTTGGAGCTGGGGATGTCAAATGAGAGCTAACTTGTGATGTCTTTCTTTCCAGATCTGGGCTATATCACTCAATATAATCTTTCCTAGGTCAATCCATTTATCTTCAAATTTCATGACTTCATTTTTTTTTACAGATGACTAGTATTCCATAGTGTATATGTACCTCATTTTCATTATCAATTGAAGGACAATTAGATTGTTTTTACTTCGTAGTATCATGAATAGGGCCACATTGAACATAGTTGAGTATCCATGGAAGACAATTATCAAGTTCTTTGGGCATATGTCAAGGAGAGGTATAGCCAGATCAAATGGTAGATTACTTTTTGTTTAGTTTTTTTTTTTTTTTTTTTTTTTTTTTTTTTTTTTTGTATTCTCCATACTGACAGCCATAATGCCTGCCCCAATTTGCATTCCCACCAATAGTGAAGAGAGTTCCCTTTTCCGGACAGACTCACCAGAAGCTGTTGTTAGCTGATTGGTTGATCTTAAATTCTGACTGGGTGGGGTGAAATGAAACCTCAAAGTTTCTTTAGTTTGTATATCTCTAGCTGCTAAGTTTGATACATTTTAGGGGGTTATTTCTTAGCCATTTTTATTTTTTGTATTGAGAACTCTGGAACTCCTAGGCCATTTTTAAAATTAGGTCATTTCTTTTGTAAACTCCTTATATTTTTAGTTCTTTGTATATTCTGGATATTAATCCTCTTTCTGATGAATAGCAGGAAAAGATTGTGCCCTGTCTCTGGACTTCATCTTCACTCACCTATTATTTTCTTAGCTGTATAGAAACTTTCCAGTTTTATGAGGTCTTGCCCATCGGTATTTTATTTTAATTCCTGGGTAAAGGGAATCTCATTCAGAAAGACCTTTTCCTGCAGCCAGAAACCAGTGTTTTCTTCTGGCACTTTCAGCATGTCAGGTTTCAAATGGAGGTCTTTGAGTAACTTGGAGTTAATTTCTGTTCAGGGTGATACACATAGGTCTAATTTCATTTTTCTGCATGTGTATATCCACTTTTCCCAGCACCATTTGTTGAAGATGCTCCCCTTTCTCTAGAATATATTGTTTTTAACCTCTTTGTTAAATATCAGATGGTTGTAGTTACATGTACTCATGTTTGGATGTTGCATTTTATTGGTCTACATGTCTGGTTTTGTACCAACACCATATTGCTTTTATTTCTTCAATTCTATAATATGTCTTGAAATCTGGAATGGAGCTCCTTCTAGCATTACTCTTTTTGTTCAGGATTGCTTTAGGTATCTGGGTTCTTTTCTATTTCCATTTGAATTTTAGGATGTATTTTTGTACTTCTGTCAAGAATGCTATGGATATTTTGACTGGGATTGCATATAATATGTAGGTTACCTTTGATGGGGTGATCATTTCATATTAATTCTACCTATCCATGAACATGGATGTGTTTTCATTTTCTGGTGTCTTGATTAGTCTCTTCCTTCAGAGATTGAAGTTTTAATTTTAAAGGTCTTTTACCTCATTGACTAGGCTTATTCCAAAATGTTTTATTGTTTTTGATGCTACTTTAATTGGGTGTGTCCAAGATCTCTTTCTCAGTGTTTGTTGTTAGTGTATAGAATAACTGCTGAATTTTTTAGTTGATTTTGTGCTTGCCATTTTGTTGAAATTGTTGATTATTTCTAGAAGTCTTATGGTAGAATTTCTGGGATCTCTTATGTATGGTATCAAAAGCAAACATGAATGACTTAACTTCTTTTCCTATTTGTCTACCTTAATTTCCTTCTCTTTCCTATTGCTCTGACTAGTGCTTTGAGTACTGTACTGAAAAGGAGTGGAGACAGTGGACATCCTGT